AACCGATTCGTTCCCCTCGTGACGCAGCTGCTTGTAGCGCATTGCCATACTCGCCACCCTGAGCATTCACATCTGCCCCCCGCTCGAGGAGGAGCTGTACAATAGATTCATTCCCCCGGCATACAGCTGCTTGAAGTGCGTTACCATAACGACCCCCTTGAGCATTCACGTTTCCTGCCCCCTCTTTTCTATTGACTAGTAAACTACAGGCCGACGTCAAATCTAACAGTGCGGAATAGTATATAGCTGTTGGAAATTCCTCGGAAGTCTGTATGTGGTGCCTCCAGGGACGGTCGGGGTCATATATATTTACCCAACCCTCGCCAAGTTCGAGGACCTTCAACGCAGCGTCTAAGAGTGGAGCGGGTGCCGTATCCTCAATAGATCTAGTATAGATGAACCAATGGCGAGCACTGTGGTAGAGAAACGACGTTTGTTCGACTCTGTTCCCGTGACTGGTTCCTTGTCTACCGTGTCGCAGTATCCGACTGAGACAGGCATGCCCCATCAGTAAATTGGCTCCATCCTCCGAAATATGATAGAAGGCACTGGGGCCCTGAGATGCCCGGTCGGAGATCAAATATTCCTTTACCGAGAAATGTGCTAGTCGTAATCTGCGCTGTTCCTGGGAGAAGGATTCATGCTGCCTAGCATCTTCAAAGGAAATAAGGCTTGGGAAAATGCCCATGAGGGAGCCTATGTTGAAAGGTTGTTCAGAATGCGCGTCATATTTGTCAGCATCGTGTTCGATCAGGACAGCCTCCGCAAGCTGGCCCAATGTCAATGGTTCCGCAGCAAATGCGAGCCAGTGCATCGCTCGCTGAATGTATACTCTCTGCATCTCATCGATACTCTCAAGGATCCTCGAATAGATAGAATCTAGATCTTTGGGCAGCTTCTTCAACGCGACTCTTACGTCATTTGGCGTAATACATTTCTCCAGAATTCGTAAAAGGCAATCCACCCATCTGAACCTTGATATGCCCCCTTACATTAGCGCAAGTTGAGAATTAAAAGTTTGAGCGCAACTCACATTCCCTGTGAACCTGTAACGAGTGATTCCTCTATCTCACTCTTAATTTCTTTTGTAAATTCGTGGAATTCACCTTTACTATCGAGAGAGTTCCGTATATATAACCGGATATCCGGATCGATTGTTTTGGATTGCAGGGGTATCGAGAAGGTGGTGAGAGGTTCCAAGGACCTCACTATGTCGGCTTCGGGGCGACTGGTGACGAGCATAGAAAGCGATTCCGCATTATGGTCCGCGGTAAACTGGCTGATCCAAGATAGCAGGTCCTTCCGCTCTGACATAGGAGCTTCGTCCAAGGCATCTAGAATGATAAACGTCTTCCTAAAACGCTTTATAATTTGCGACAAAAGACCTTTCAAGGCGCTAGTATCTGCCGACTTTCCAATTGCCTTGGTGTTGTTATACAGATCTACAACCTCCTCCGGCAGACCCCGATCTGAAGGACTTTTCGGAAGTTGGCCAATAAGAGATAGGAGCATATTGTATAATTTCTGCTTCTCAGAGTCGCTGAAGGTAAAGTAGAAATATGCAAGTGCGTGATCATCGTTCGCCTTGCAGAGAGGTTCGACATCTTCGATGACAGTAGCACTGGATGGTGGGTTAGCATTAAAAAAATCATGTTGCACCTCCGGATACGCACCTCAGGACACTTTTTCCACATCCAGCTACAAGACACAAACGTCAATGATATTCCTTGAAGAACAAAGTTTCACTCTCGTCTAGACTTACGTATACCACGAAGCCAGAGAATGCCTCCGCTACCTTCCTTCCAATCCGTGTACTCAGGCCCGTTGAGTAGCCAATTTCCAGTGCCAGTTTCACGAATTGCAAGTGCAGAGGAATAATTTGAGGCTGGATCAACGACGTTTAGCCATTTCTGGACTTCCTGGAATTTGTTCTCTGGGGTTTTGGAAATATATGATATTAGTAAACAAAATCATTTAGCAGGGTTAGGGATAATGTGACCAAGTACCGTCTAGCTTTCGCAACATCTTAGTCACCGTCTGTCTAGACAACTAGTTAGCCTTGCCACCAAAACAAAAAGGAATTGGAGAAGGTAGATTCCTAGGAGACTGGAGAATGGATAACCTACGTTGTGGCTGTGGTTAATAGGAGATGAAGCTTCGATCTCTGCTCTTCAAGTAAGCCCAGGTACCGCTCCATTTTGGGCTTGCGAAAAGGCCAAACGTATTTCCTTGAGGATTTCCTCCATCCCGGAACATCTAACTTTTCCTTCAGCTCCTCCAAGGCTGCCTTATAATCTTTTAAATCTTCGTTTTTCGTCCATTCCAGAAGGCTAGGGTATTGTGGGTTGTTCTCGTCGTCTCCGGCAGCAAGGCTTCGGATTTCCTCGAGCTGTTGATGGATACTTTTAATCTCGTCCCCCAGTTTCTTGAAATCTTGTTGGCTGCCCTTGACCGTGTCATAGTAGTCATAGCAAAGCTCGCAAACCTTTGCACTGAGGTGGATGAGGGCCAGGCCACTGGCAGCCACGGAGAAGGCCTCTGCCATTTCTCTTCTCAGGAGTGTTATGAGCTTAAAGAGGGGAAGTGCAAAAGTGTGATGATGACAGTTCGGTATCTCTCAGGAGCGAAAGATAAGCAAAAGATGCTGTTCGCTTCTGAGATGGGTGGACCTTCAAGCTTCAGATTATTTTGAGATATCCCTTTTGGCCGTGGATTCGAGGATGCGGTGGAAAACAGCTAACTAGTCGTAGAGGGTTTCCTCGCAGAGCAGAGTGAATTCCCAAGTTCTCCGCGAGGGGGGGCACCCGGATGCCAGCGCTTGTAAGTTACACCAGAACTGCAGCTGCATGCCCAGTGGCTTTTCAGCGCAACTGCAAGCCAACCATCGCTCATGTACCGGTGGTCTAGCCCCCATGCTAATGTTTTTGCTGGGGATCGAAGTTCTAGGTGTTGGAGCAAGTAGATGTATCATCCGAGTGATTTGCTTGCTGCAGCTCTTGCTTGACAATGAAACGATTCATGGGCTAGTGTTCATGTGGCACTTAAGAGAAAAGCGAGGGTAGTGCACTGCACTGTCCGTTTAAAATGCTAAGCTACCTAAGCTACGAGTGCAGTACAGTTCCAGTCGGGGAGTATGAATTCCACCGCCCGGTAAACAGCAACATCCGACCCTCACCCACATCGCAACAAGCCAAGAGGGCTATGCTCAGTTGCGTCCAAACAAGCTTCAGGATCACCATTAACTCAGAGAAGATGGTTTCTATGGACAAACAGGAGCGTCACAGGGGGTTGGGTTGCCGCCGCGAGCCTTCTCAGGGGCCGCAATTCCTCTGCCCGCGTTGCGGGATCCGTCTCCCAATTTAGCAGCTATCAAGCAATCAACCTTTATGACCACCAAGCTCCAGTCACGCTGGAGAGCATATTTTAGAAAAACCCAGCGTTGCGCTGAACGCATGGTCTTTTTTGTTCTTTCCAGCGCTGTAGGTAGGATTAACCACGCGGGTGCGGTATGAGTGCTCGGGCAGCCCAGGTCAATGGACGAAAAGTCTAAAAACCCCGCATGTTTTGACGAGATCGAATCGGACCGGAACCAACACCTATGAGTGCAATAGTTGAGTGCCTGTACGGTACTTGTGCTGGAACTGCTTTGCTGTAAGCGACCCAAGTCCACTATTTGCGCCATGCCGCATGTAATTCGATGGGCTACCGGTAGGGCGGCATCGCCGTCGGGTCCGCCGGTGTGCCGCTCCCGGAACATCGGGTAACCACCGCCGATCGGAAGGCCGGTTCACGTCGCGAGACCTTTGGTCTACAGTACGGAGTTAAAAAATGGATGCGACACATTCGGCCCCGGCCTCGGAGAGGCCAGGGAGAAATTTTCGTGGCCCCGACCACCGGGGGGCCGAATGCCCCCACTAGGCCGGAAGGGACACCGGTAGGTTGATTAGATTTGATGTTGCACCTGGTGGGTGCTCCAACACCTTCTTTTGTCCCTCGGCAGGCTGTGTCCCCCTATGTTGTGCGGCGAGAGGGAGAGATACAAGTACCGGTATGATACTAGGTGCTATACTCTATGTACAGTACGGTAGAACGTGAGGAGACAGCGGGGCTTGGCGATATTTGGCAGAAAGGCTGCCTCCGGTCAACGACAGTAGAAAGCCAAGCCATGCGGCGCCTCACACTGTCTACATGTACTGTACAGGTACTGGTATATATTTTACCGGTACTAGATACTCATACATCCACACCCGACAACCTCGCTCATAGAGGAAGGACGGATGCCCCATATTGACAAGCAGTTATTATACAGTATACGTTCCATTTCCGTCCCAATTGGGTTCTGTTTCTTCTCTTTTGCTTCTTCTTTCACAAGTGTGTTACAAGGTCATCATTTCCCCGCACTTTATCCTATGGTATCGCTAGGTCGCAGACAAACCTTTTTCACAGGTGCCATCTCGGCCGCGCCCGCCATCCAATCCTGGAAGTCAACCGAGCCTCACACCGACATCGGCAGGGGCTGCTTTCGAAAAAACCCTTTTGGATACCATACGCTTGGCGGTAAACCCTTTCGGATACCATCCCCGGAAATATACCATCGAAAAAGTGAAACCTTTGCCACGAACAACAAAATATTTACACATCTCCACCCATCTTTTTATTGCTCAAAAATGCAAATAAAGTAAAAAAAAGTCCTGGAAAAATAATAATGAAATACTCACAGCCTTCTATTATTTTTAAAAATTTCTCCACAATTTTTTAAGATGAACTGGGTGGTACCGAAGGCGTTTGGCAATCTTCTTGAGTTCTTGGCAAGGTGTGACCCACCCAAAACATAGACTACCACTTTTAAGTAAGAGCAGGACGAGACATAGAAAGGCTATCTAATTGTAGAAAATTCTAAAAATATGACAACTGACTTTCTTTATTTTTTATTTTTTCGGTTTATTTTTCGAACTTTTTGCTGTAGTTTTATGATGGGCCAAAGAGAAGGTAATTGTGTACGAGTACAAAGATTTTACTTTTTCGATGGTGTGTATCCCGGTCGATGGTATCTGAAAGGGGTTTCTGCTAAGAGCATGGTATCCAAAAGGTTTACCCAAGAAAGAAAGGTTAACTGGCTCCAGCACCGACGACTTCAAAGAAACGCAGAGCATCAGATACGATAACGGTACCCTGATCTACGTTTTTTTATTATTGCACAAACTCGCCTACCGGTAGATTCCTACATGCCAGAAAGCATTGAGCACTCCTTCTGTTTCCGGTCCCGGATTCACTACGATACAGTCGTGCGTACTTCAGAGACTCTTGCCTTCATATCTAGCTCTTCCCCCACTGCAT